CAGTACTATTGGCATAAAGATAAACATATAGATTAATGGAATAGAATTGATAGTTCAGAAATAAATTCTCACATTATGGTCAATTAATGGTCGAGAAGAGTGCTAAGACAATTCAACAGGGAAATAACAGTCTTTTCAACAAGTGGTGCAGGGAAAAATGGACATCAACATGCAAAAGAATAAAGTTAGACCCTTCCCTCCTATCATATGCAAAAATTAACTCAAATTGAATCAAAGCACTAAATGTAAGACTTATAACTATAAAACTTTTAGAGGAAAGCAGAGCAAATCTTCATGACCTCGGGTTAGGCAATGGTTTCTTAGATATGACTCCAAAGACAAAACAGATAAACTGCACTTCATCAAAATGAAAACCTTTTGTTTCAAAGGACATCATCAAAAAAGTGTAGAGACAACACAGAATGGGAGAAAATATTTGCAAATTATTTATCTGATAAGGGACCTGTACCTGGAATAGAGAAAAGAATTCTCACAAAAATAAAAAGACATAACGCAATTAAAAAATTGGCAAAGGTTCTGAAGAGACATTTCTCCAAAGGTATACAAATGGCCAATAAGCACATAAAAATGTATTCAACATCATTAGCTATCAGGGAAATGCAAATCAAAACCACAATGAGATACCACTCACAAGGACAGCTAAATCAAAAAGACAATAACAAGTATAAATGGGAATGTGGAGAAACTGAAACCCTCACACACAGCTGGTGGGAATGCAAAATAGAGCAACTGCTTTGGAAAACAGCCGGGCACCTCCTTGAAGGATTAATAAACACAGAGCTAGCATATAACCCAGTAATTCCATTCCTAGGTATATACACAAGAGAACTAAAAGCATCTGAGGGTACTTTGAAAAGTTCATGGAAAGACTCATATTATGTTTTAATTCTATACTTTCTGAAGTACTCTCATATAATCCATATAAAAACTTTTGCACAAATGTTCATAGCAGTATTATTAATAGCTCAAAATTGGAAAACAACCTAAATGTCCATCAACTGATGAATAAATAATCAAAACAGTATATCCATATAACAGAATATTTGGCAATAAAAAGCAGTGAAATACTGACACATAATATGACATGAATGAACTTGAAAAACATTGTAAATGAAAGAAGCTAATCACAAAAGGCTATAAACTGTATGATTCCATTTATATGAAATGTCCAGAATAGACACATCCATAGAGCAGAAAGTAGATTAGTAATAATGTTGCACAACTCTAGGAATATTCTAAAAACCACTGAATTGTAATTCAAATTTAAAAAAATCTATGTCTTAAGATTGCTAGCTTAGTGTTGTAATACCAATAAACAAAAATGTCCAAGAGAGATCAATAAGAAATGCAATTAGGTCTAAAATGGAAGAGAAAGAAGAGAAATATCTTTCCTCTGTATACAGTCCCTTGTGAGAATCATTTGCTCCTCACAGATCCTAATGAGTATTCCTCTTTTCTGAAAAGAATTATCTAACTAATTATATCTTTTCACTTTTCTTTCATGGCCAGAATGCTCAAACCTGAAGCTCAACTATATCAATTCTGGAAACTTTAAAAAATGTATTTAGCTTTTAGCTTGTATGTCAGACATCTTCTTTAAAAATTTATAGTCCTGGGCTGGCCCGGTGGCGCACTCGGTAGAGTGCGGCGCTTGGGAGTGCGGTGGCGCTCCCGCCGAGGGATCGGATCCCATATAGAGACTGGTCTGCTCACTGGTTGAGCGCGGTGCGGGCGCGACACCGAGGGTTGCGATCCCATTATCGGTCACGAAAAAAGACAACACTGAGGGTTGCGATCCGTTGCCGGTCACGAAAAAAGACAAAAAGGAAAAAAAAAATTTATAGTCCACAAATATGTATCAATTATGCTTCAATAAAAAAATTAATAAAATTTTTAAAAGAGAGTAAAAAGAAAAAAATTTATAGCTGCTCAGAATAAACAGAAGACAAGAGAATTTAAAAGAAAAAAAGAAAAACAAGAGAAGTAACAATCAAAACACATACATACTATTCAGAGGTGGGCTACAAATTTAATTTTAAGCTTTCTAGCAGCCAAACAAAATAAGAGAACCAATCAGTTTATAAATTCACAATGTGTTTAAATAAGGTAAAAACTAATTGCTCAGAAGAATTAATCCTAAGACCATTAAGGATTTTTTCCTAAGGATCTGCAGAAAGAATATCCTGTGGAAGAAAAAACACCTCCTTTAGATAGAAATATAAGAAGAATCAGTTGAATTGCTTCTTAAGTGTAATTAAATAAAAAACTTCAAAAGGTCAATACAATCCCTTTACTGGTCTGGTTTAACTTGGGGCAGTAAGATTGGGTGAAGTATATATTTTTCAGTCAGTCCCTACTTAAATGACTCTTTACAACTAACTTACTTTCAATACAGGATGACAGTGAATCCAAGGCAGTAAGTCTAACAGATCTGCAGTTTATCTTGATCTTTTCCATGTTTCTGATTGTCTACATTTATTTTTATTATCATATGTGTTATTGCTACAAGCTACTTCAAAACCTCTGTACATACATTAAAAAAATGTTATGAACAAGCAACTATTAAAAACTTCTTGCCTGGCACAGGTAACCCGACTTAAGCAAATACATTCCTTAACTAGGAAATATGACACCAAGTTCTATTCGTACTGGCAACACTTTACCCTGATAACCTTGGGCAAGCTACTGTGCCAAATTTTGCTTTATCTAAAATAGGACTGGATAATTATGCTCTGTTACAATCTGATACTTAAGACTAATTAAACTACTTATCAACAGTTTGAGTTTTTTAAAAAACCAGGCACTATAAGCATAATCTATAATTTTCTGCTCATACAGTTTCCAAAAAATGCATTATTTCACAAAATGCTTTCCAATAGGGCTATTTTAATACTGCAAGCCCATGTCTGTGTATGACACTCATCTTCAGCCAATATAACCTTCCTTTTTTTAATCAGGAAGTGTTATGCAGAAAATTATAAATAGACAGCAAGATGCTTCTAATTTAACATACTTTCCACTCATTTGTACCTATTTACCACCACATATGTATAAGACATGATCATTACCATCAGCTGTAGTTGCTTTTTGGTGAGGCATCAGCATGGCAGCAAATTCTTGAAGTTGATTTCCTCTGATGATCCTATCTAAATACATTTTCTCTAGGATCCCATAAGCAGCAAGTTGCTGGCACCTTTCATCTTTAAAAAGAGTAGCAAGCATCCGAGAACGCTGCTGTCCTAAAGGAAACAAATGAGCATCAAATATTTTCACAATGTTTCTTCAATGAAAAATGATCTATATTCTGACCCCATTTTTGTCTACTAAAATATACAATCAGTACTCATTAGTCACAGTAGTTATGTTCTATAAAGTTGCTACCAACACTGAATTAGCAAATACTCAGCTGCTGCTCCTGTGGGAAAGACAGGGTTCGGTTCCTGTGAGCCTCTGGTCACAACATTTTTGTCAGCCATTCAATCTTAACCTTGTTTTTTATGTGTGTCTGTTTAAAGACACTTTATTTTTTTTTCCTTTTTGTCTTTTTTCGTGTCCGGCAATGGATCGCAACCCTCAGTG